ATTCTATGATTCTATGATTCTATGATCTACACTAAAATTTCGCTCCCACCGACGTAATTGCCCCACTACATCAACTTAATAACTCCACCTTCATGAAAGGTGTAGAATCAATGTTAATGTAGTTAGGTAGACACTATGTTGCTTATATCAACTGTTACTGGCTTTAAGAAGCCGTCCCACAATTTACTGGCTTTAAGAAGCCATCCCATATTGACAGTACAATCAGTACAAGTGCTCCTGGTAAGGACATGCACTGCCAACACAAGGAGCAAAACTTGTAATTACTGTGGCGGCTATATGCCAACATAAGTTAGGTTGACTTAATTTTGTAGTGTAGACATGGTCTTAGAATCACAGAACTCTTGTCATGTGCTCCCTGAACTCAGTCCCCTCAGTCTTAAAGGACTGAGCATTGAACCAGGGTGCAAGGACATGTACATGTGACGCAGGACCAGCACCCTGTTACAAGGGCTATAACAGTATTTGAAACCATTTTGCAACTTTAACAGTTGCAATCACAACTAAGTGACTGCTATAATATTCACATGCCAAAATTTTAAGCCACTTACATAGTACAACTATATGTATACCTTTATACTGATATGAACCATAAAGACAGTATCTGTTTGCCCAGTTCAGTGAAAAGCCATGAAGACATTTTAACTAATATATATATATATAACTATATATATATATAGTTTTGGCTTTTAAAAAAATCCCTAAATGTGTAGACCTAAAATGCCCCTGTAACTTACCTCTGCACTTTTCAGAGACTTTAAGAGATTATTAACGGTTTCTGGAAAAGAACTGCCCAGCATCCTGCCCATTTTTTCATAAAAAGCTCCAACACATGCCACTGCAGCCCTACAAAGACAAGATGTCCCTTAGAAACCTCTTTGTCAAAGTTTAACATACAACTTAAATGGAAAGCATCAGACTAGGAGATAAGGAAATTTATTTTTTAAATGTACCGTATGTTGTTAATCATTTTTTATTACTAAAATCTATTTATTATTCAGTGGTTATGTTGGTTGTTTACTCTATATTTCACTCAACCTAGATAGTGAAAATAGAGTTATCAACTATATGGGGTTTGATCCATTGGCAGGATTTTTTCCTTAGGCCCTAATCCTGTGTAAAATTAAGCATATAATTAAATCTTTGCAGGATTAAGGCTTTAAATGGTTGCAGAAAATGGTCTTCAGCCAGACAGCAGAAAACTGTTAAAGGTCAGCAGTACGTTCCTTACGCTTTGCTATACATGCCCCGACAACTGAAAAAAGATAGACATTTTGTTGTTGGGTTTTTTTACATAAAAAAAATCAAAATGTGTACAATGCAGTTAAATTTAGATACGCTAAAATCACTGGGTCAGTCAATTTTTTGCACCCGCATTTTTCCTTTTCCTGATGTTCAGGTACTAGAATAACTTGGTTTGTTGGAGTGGGGGGTTTTGTTTTGTTTCATTCTTTTGGAGCGGGAAAAGAGGAGAGTTGAGGCAGAAAGGATTTTAAGCAATTTTGTGTTTCAATTAGACATATAAATAGTTCCAGCAGCAGCTTGACAAAAGCAGCTCCTGTGCCTCCCAGGCTCCTGAGAATGTGTAAACTGATATGACTCGGCTTTCTTAGCTTCAAGTTTTTAAACATATACAACTGAGAATGCTTGACAATAATTTTTCAATCACTGATAGCATATTATCCAGCCAGCTGTTCATTTCAAACTTATCAAAGCACATAACTCCTCACCAAGGAAACCTTATATAAAAAGACTGCCATTTCAAAGTTCAGCTATTTTTGAATAACCTGAATGGGGGAAAAAGGCTGCTGGGATATTCTTTAAGCGGGGAAAGTAATATGTTTGGGAATTCATAATAAAAACTGTTCTGCTCAACATTTCTCATAAAAAAGGCATAAATCAAGCAAGGAGAGTTTCAGCTCAAAGGATCAATATTTCAGATAGTTGAGTATGTAAAAACAAAGGGTTATAACAAAAATGGTTTTACAACCTTAACTAGTATTTCCTACCAGTGAGACTGCTAGGACAGTGTTTCTCAACGACCAGTCCTTGGACCAGCGGCGGTCCCCGAGATCTCCCTGACACAGTTTAGGAAGGCAGCAAGCCAGTCGCTGTTATCAAAAAGGTTGAGAGACACTGTGCTAGGATACCTGAAATGTGAGCTGAAGCTAAACACACACAGAGCACAGAGATTATTTATTCAAGAGACACACACTGTACAGTAGATGAATACAAACAAACAGTGAACACTCTTTCTGAAGAGTACCTAACATTAACAATTATCTCTTGAAATATAAAGTCCATGTTAGGGTTTAGCCTGCAAGGTTCCTTGCACCTTTTAATTTGGGAATCAGAATGTGCCTGTAAATATTTGAGAAATTCCAAGTAGAGGAATTTGTCCATTTGTTATTCTGTCAGGCATTAGCTTTCCTCTGGATGACATAAACGTAAAAATTAGCCCAGAGTAGAAGACATTTCCTTACCTGGAAGAAAGACTCTTCAACTCCAGACAACCACATGAATCTGTTAGCTCTAAATCCTTCCCTCCACACTCCCAATCCTGCTCTTGTTATGTCTCATTTATTTTTATATTATATATACATATGTATATGATACACAAATAAAGATTAATGTAGAGATATGAAATACTTTATTTATAACAAACATTCCCCCTCTTAAGGCAACATTTTACTTACAGTTTGGTCGGTAAATAGGCAGCAGTATCATCTTTATTCTTGATAATGTCATTACACTTATCAAGTGTCTGAAAGACAGTAAATGTATCGCCAATGCTATAAAGAGCCGCAAGATTTTTTGCGAGTAATTTACGTGTGGGTGGCCCAGGGGAACTGCTGATGAGTCCAGTTAGCTGTTCCACAAGCTTCTTTTGTTTTTCCTTGACATCTGTCTGTTAAAGGAACAAAATTTATGTTATTATAGTCTTTCCATTCATATGTAATTCAACATTTCTACCAGTTTCCACAAACCTTGAGGGAGATGTTTTATGTTTCAATCTAAAATACTCTATACTATACTCAACACCTGCACATACAAATGCTAAATGGAAATATACAAATGGTTGCTATTGCTGAGTTCTTACTGTTTCTATCATATATAATTTATTAATACAATATTACTTCACAGAGGGTCCTTTAAGCTCCCAGGACTGTCCTCCTTTGCCATTTTTCACATCTTTTTCCTCATCATTAAAAGGTCCCGCACTTGAAGAGTCGAGCTAAACTTTCCAAGGTATACATATTACTGAAGAACTGTAGATCCTACTAAGTATTGTAGTTTGTAAATCTATAATTTCAGACTGAGCACAAGCAACAACAAGTAAATTAATAAGCACAGGTATTTACAAAACTACAAGATACAGTTGAAAGTTTATATATGCACTTATAGTTAGTTAGGGCCCTGTGTAAAGCTCAAATTATTTTGTTTTAGAAAATTCAGGATAGTGTAAATGGCAAATTACTGAATTTTATGAAGTTTGCATGGAATTAGTTTTACAAGTAACATTAGTCAATTTCAAGAACAGAATGAATTTCACAAGTAATGTCAGTCAATACCAAGGTGTCATTCCATCTTTGAAATTGACTAACACTATTTGGAAAAAAGCATCCAGTCCTTGAAATTGACTAGCTAAGGTAATTTTTTTTTAATTTTTTTTTTTTAGTATTACAGACTTTCTTGTAGACAGTTTTCCTTTTACCTTTTTTAAAAAAAGATCACGGTTGGAGGCATTTTCATGATTTCAGTACACTACATGAAATCGTGATTTACACAGGGGCCTACTTCCTACTTATAGTCACTCTGAAGGTTGGCTGCCAGATCCTACTGCCACTGTTATGGATGTCCATCTGGTACCTTTTCATGAGTATGAAATTAACATGACATTTTTAGAAAGAGAAATGAAGAGGGAGAAATAAAGTTACCTTGTTGGCTGCTACAAGCACTTTATCCAGAAATCGCAACCACTCAAAAATAAAGACCGGCCTCTTTGCTTCTGTGATTTGAGCCAAAGCTTCTTCATTTAGCAACAAACTATGAGCCAGCTCCATCCTTATTTAAACGCTGACTTCACTGTACACTCCGGTGTTGTCTCTAAAATACAGTTAATGTACAATGTAAAGCAATAAAAAGCTTTGCTACAATATTTTTTATTTAATGCAAATTACAGTTTTCAGAGCAGAACTGCGTTTTAAATACAGACTACAATATCAGACCCCAATCCTGTATACATTTATGCTTGTTTTAGTTAAGTAGTCTCAGAGAAGTCAATGGGTACATCTATACAGCCTGCAACAGTGAGCTTCTCAACCTGGGTTAACAGAATTGGGCTTGCAGGGCTCATGCTAGAGCTCTAAAAATCGGTGTGAACTCTTCGAACTTGCAGCTTGGGCTGGTGCTCAAGGTCTGAAGCCTAGGAAGGGGGATGAGCTCCAGAGCCGGAGTTCCAGCCCGAGCCACAACTTCAAAGAACTGTCTAGCGCAAGCCCAAGTCTGCCAACCCAGGCTGCAAGGCTCATTAGCACGGGCTCTGTAGACATACCTAATGGGACTAGTCACATGCTTAAGATTAAGCACATGCATATGTATTTGAGGTATAGGGACCTTAAATGTCAAAAACAAAGTACAGGCAGCTTCAGAATTTCAGAGTTTTTTCTGCCTGGCAAAGAATAATGTTGAGGTCCCTGTAAAAAAGTAGTAAAGAGCAAAAAAGAAAGTTACCAGTCAGGAGAGACTACTTCCCTTCCCTTCCCCTCCGAGATCTTACTTATCCCTTTAACCTCTCCAAGGTACTGGATACCATGTAGAAGAATACTCCATGGACCTTGTGTAAAGGAGTCTGGGGAGCTTCTCTTTGATTTGTGAGGAGATCCAGGATACCCTTACCCCTTCAGTTGAAGGGATCTCCTGCACAAAGTACATACTCCATAAATTGTGTTTCATAGAACTAGAGCAATATAGTTGTATGAAACATGCATTTCACCAAGTGTAACTTCATCCACATACCAGGCAATTTACAAACCCAGAGAGAAGTACTCTGCAAGCCCTATACTTTTTACTTTTTTCCTACTTTTCTATTTCTCCTATTCCCTTCTCCTTTTTTGTCCTTAAAGATAAAAAGCAGGGAAATTAAATGGAAGAAATGTGCATTAATCCTATTAAAATGTATAAATTAGGATTCTCATCACATTATTTCTGATATGTTTCATAGATTTTAAGGCCAGATTCATAGATTTTAAGGCCAGAAGGGACCATTAGATCATCTAATCTGATCTCTATGTCACAGACCATAGAATTTCATCCAGTTACTCCTCTATTGAGTCCAATAACTTGTGTCTGACAAAAATATATCTTTCAGAAAGGCATGTAGTCTTGATCCAACAGTTAATCATCCTCACTGTTAAAAATCTCTATCTTATTTCTCATTTGAAATTGTTTGGCTACAGCTTCTGGCTGTGGTTCTTGTTATGCCTTTCACTGCTAAATTAAAGAGCCCTTTAATATCTGGTATTTTCTCCCTGTGCTGGTACCTATCCACCATAATCAAGTTACCTCTTGATTCTTTTTTGATAAGCTAAATAGGCATTTTCTCCAGACCTGCAATCATTTTTGTGGCTCTTCTCTGCATTCTCTCCAATTTTTCAATATCCTTTTTTAAAATGTGGACACAAGAACTGTGTGCAGTGTACACAGAGGTAAAATCAGTTTCCTACCCCTACTCGCTACCCTCAGTTGACACATCCAAAGATCACATTATCCCTTTTTGCCACAGCATTGCACAAGGAACTCATGTTGAATTGTTTGTCCAATACGACCACTAAATTCTTTTCAGAGTTACTTCTTTCCAGGATACAGTCCCTCATTTTGTAGATATATGACTTTTCATTTGACTATATTAAAATGTGTTCTGTTTGACTGGGCCCCATTTATCAAACAATTCAGATCACACTGTATGATTGCCCTGTCCTCATTGTTATTTACTATTCTCCCAATCTTTGTATCATCTGCTAATTTTATCCTAACTGACTTTATACTTACTTCTAGATCATTGATAAAAATAATGAATAGCATCAGCCCTAGTACTGATGCCTGAAGAACTCCCATTCTATGATGATTCCCCTGTGACAATTACTTTTTGTCAAGCTTTGTTGTAGGCATCATGGCAGAAGAGACTCTTGTGGAGGGATGTCAAGGTGAATAATGAGGTAGCTCTGTGAATGTTCATAGGGTGCTCCTCCCAAGCATGAGGGGCAGCAGAGGAGGAACAATGAAGGTGTTAAGTTTTCAAACAAGCAAGCAGGCAATGGAGGCTGGCACCATGGCTGATCGGAAATGAGCACCGGTAGCCCAACAGCAAATGAGAGATGATAGGTAGGGTGGGGAATTACTGCAGCTAGCCTTGAAAGGGAAGACAAACAGTTTATGTTGGATGTGACAGAGAAGGGGGAGCCAGTGGGAGAAAGAGAGGGATGACATGGTCAAAGTAACAGGCTAAGAAAATGATCTTTGCAGCAGCATTCTGAATGTATATGCATTATTTGAGACCAGTATATAGTTGAAAGTGGGAACGTTGTCTGGTAGTTTTAGAACAGTGGAGATGGAATAAGGACATCCAAATTCTATTCCCAGCTCTGCCACTAACTTGTTGAGTGACCCTTAAACAAGTCACTTACTCTGCCTATGCCTTGGGTTCCCCATCTGTAAAATAAGTATAATACTTCCTTACAGGGGTGGTATGAGGATAAATTAATTAACATCTGGGCCCTCAGATACTACAGAGATAGGGGCCACAGAAACACCCAGGTATACAGGAGTAAATCTTCTTTATTATTGTTTAGTCCCAACATGGTGCTCCATACCATTAAATATATAAACACATATCCCCTGTCCTTATTAATACAGGTGGTCAGTTCATTCAACAAACCAACTGTTGCTTATGGAGTGGTATGATGCAGCAGCCTTCATCCTGAATATGGAGGTACAAGCCCTGGAAATCACAAATCCTAGGATACAACACACACAGGCCCCACAACATTGCCGCAGAGCCATGCTACACTCCAGGTCCGTCATCCCTGCGCTATCAGGTGCCAGCCCCGTGGCACTATATGCCACCTCTGCAGGGCCACTTCACCCCTTGGGAAGCGCCATCTCCGGTGCTACCAGGTCTGGTGAGTTTCATCGCCAGCCGCTGCTGGAGCCCTGCCACCGGGCCAGGCTCTCGGCGAGCCCCGCACGCAGGGCCAAGCTCGCAAACGCGCCCCGCATCTGTCATTGGCACCGGCCAGGCCCGCCCCAGGCTCTCCGGGGCTCGAGGCAGGATTTATGGCCGCCGGGAGTGGGCGACCCTGTCCGCTACCCTCTTCCCAGCAGCGTCTTCCTGCCCCCGGACCGCGGGCACCGGGCACCCACCGCCCCGCGGCCGCTCCTCCCCGCCCCCCTCTCATAGCAGCTCCCCGGGTGCAGCCGAGCCCCCCGGCCCGCACTCACCCGCAAGCAGCGGCCCCAGCAGAGCCCGACGGACCCGTGACAGCAGCGCACCGGGTCCCCTCCAGCGGCAGGAAGAGCCGGGTCGGGCGCAGGCGCAGCCCGGGACCTAGGAAGCGCCTGAGCAGAGAGTGCGCAGGAAGGAGCCCGAAGAGAGAGAGAGAGCGGGGGGTGAGTGAGAGGCAAAGCGGGGTGGTGGCTGGGGATACTGGGGAGTGGCTGGGGGAT